GTTTTAAACACGTGATGATTTACGTTGTAAACAAACAAAAACAAATCAACAAAACTACTTGGTTACTTTAGTAAAACACGGTTTGGCTTCAAATAAATACGTTTGTTACGTTATTTATTAATGACGCCGTATACGTCTCTGGTAGTGACCTGTCAATCACATTAACCCCGCCCTAAAGCATCCCCTGCTTTATGGTCTGTGTGACTCTAAATGGACCATAAGTTACTAAATGAACATCATGCTGTATTGAAGAAGACTTGAAACTAGAGATTGAGACCATAAACTCATGTTTACAATGTTTACTGAGGTAATAAATCAAGAGAGAAGTAGAGTCATTTTCTCATAGACTTCTATACAACCAGAGGAGTCGCCCCCTGGTGGACACTAGAGAGAATGCAGCTTTAAGACATGAAGCATCGGCTTCACTGTGCAGAACGGAGGTTGCTGCCTGATTTTACTACGATAGTCCAGCAACCTTACGTGCTCACAGTCTTTTCAAAATAAACTTCTGTCTTCACGGGAAAACTACTTAGTTAGGTTTAGGAAAAGACCGTGGTTTGGGATTAAAATAACTACGTGAATCTCATTACTATGGTACGGAAGTTACGTCTACGTTGACTTGTCGTTTCTAAAGTGAGTGCACATCTCAGCTGCATCACGTTGCAGAGCCAAAAGACATCGGTAAGATGAAATAAAAAATAAACCTCTGTTCTTGGTCGACGCCTTGTGTGCTTTAAATCACGAGGAGGAAAAACAACTAGCTCTGAAAGGCACAGAAGCCTCTCAGGGAATCATCACAAACCACACGGTCCACTGGAATATGCAGCAGCTGATTTTCAATGTTTAAAATATTCAAACTACAAGAGTAAAAGTGCTGCTTATAGAATATCCGTTTGTGATGTCGGTCAGCTGCAGCTTGAGCCTCTCATGTAATCAAGACTCGATTACATTTGAGTCACAGAAATAGTATCGCTGAAATATGAAGAAGCACTTTACTCTTTCAGTAGAAAAAATATGAAAAGAATTCAAGAAAATATGTACGAAAACTGTGACCCGATGTGCTGCAGTTTAGAGGAGAAACCTGCTACTGTCATACATATATAATGCACAACCTCTACATACATTTTGGTGAGGGAATATTACAGTAATTACGGTGTTCGGGCACAACAGGAGGCTTTCAGAGGAGTCATGACATGGCTGTGTGTGTGTGTGTGTGGTGCTGTTTAATTAGAGCACTCTTGGTCTCAGGAGGATCAGACCTGGAAGACTACTGTCTGCTACGTGACAGAGAGCCAGGTGGTAGTGTGTGTGTGTGTGTGTGTGTGTGTGTGTGTGCCTGATAAGTTGGTGGCAGTGAGAAGAGCCAGACACAAACAAACACAGTGGGGTTGAGCACAGACCCACACATACACCAGTAAATGTGAGGTACCAGAGTGGGGATCAAGAGCCCAAAACAACAACAACAACAATATCTTGCGATCAAATGGACGGAAGGAGAAGAAAACACGTCAGAGCAGGGGTTTGACGATGCGTGGTGTAAAAATGAGCACATGTGTTTCTCTGGCATGTATTTGCTTGCTGAGGATAAGCCCTGATAGTGGAGAACTGCACAGTCAAGCCTATGCCCTTCCTCCTCCTCCTCCTCCTCCTCCTGTCATTGGTCAGGGCATTATTTGAGCCCTCACGTGGTTTAGTGAATTCAAGCCACTAAGGATCCCTCACCGGGCAAACTGCCAATCTCATGTTAAGATCTTGGTCTTAAGTACATTCCTGCACTCTTGCTGCAGCACTAAAAAGGTAGTTTTTGGCATTGAAACGGTATGAAAACACACCGATGTTAAACCGGGAAAGATCACAAGCCTGGCGCATTAAGGCAGAGAGAAAACCACAATAGAAGCAAATCCAGGTAGAACAGGAAAACAAAAACAAAGCATGCATAGTATCATGTTACTGAACGGTGCAGATGCATTAGCAGCATGAAAAAACCCATAATCCTTTGGGAAAACAACAGAGCAAAACAGACAACAGAAATTATCTTGCAGAGACAAGGGGGATAAACACAGAACCTGGCAACCGTGGTGTGCATGTTGCAATTCTTTTCAAAGTTCACTCCGTGGTGCAGGAAAGAGTAAATAAGCCAAAAAAAAAAATCATGAGTCCAGCCCTCAAAGATAACAAATCCAGAGGACTCAGATGGCACCTGTCACATAGGCAAACTTACAGGTTCTCTACAGTAGCATACCAGCACAGCAGCAAATACGGACACATTCCTGACCCTGCACGGGTGAACGTGGACTGTACCCGACTGTTAGAGGAAGAGGTTTAAAGCTGCACTGTGTTTCTATTCAGTGTAAACTTTGAGCAGCACATTAAGTCACAGCTCTGCAGCTCAGCCCACGCCATGCTGCGTTCAGGTCCCAGCAGAATCATCATACAAGCACATGTAAAGATATTTCATTTACACTACGTTTAAAAAGAAATAAAATGCCCCAGGCCGCAAGGACAGTCAATTGTTATTATTGTCACGTATCTGCAATGTGTATATATATATTTTTTTCCCAGCATACTGTTGTCCACCTGTTTTTATTCCCAATGGGATTGCTTTGAGTGGGAAATAATACATTTATTTCAAATACATTTTTTTCTACGATATATATTTTTATTTTCTATCAGTTTTTTTTTTACAATTTATTCCTTTAAAAAAAATATATATATTATAGCCCAAGGCTGATCAACAAAATGTGTCAATTTGACAGGAATGACTAGAAACAAAACCGTAAGCTGGTCAATGCACTCTTCAAAATAAAAGCAAAAAACAGCTTCAAGAATACCCCAAATAACCCCACTTGAGTCAGATATTGCTATAATGAATGTTGGTATTACACATACCGGCTGCTTGCAACAACTACTACATATATTGCTGTTCATTAGGCTACCTCAATAAACATACTGCGATATTACGTTACATTTGATTTAGCTAAAGTGACTCTTTTGACAGCTTCAGCACAATTACACGCTACATGGTAATATAGTGGAAACCACACATCTTAAACTATCTATCAATACGCAATGTAATATAATTGTGTCGGCAAATTAAAAAAAGAAATCAACAGTCAATATCGATTGGTATTTTATTTTGAAATAAAAAAAGAACGGGGCTTTACTTATTCCACTTGACGCTTGAGTTGGTTAAGGAAGCCCGAGAAATATCAACCGGGAATAAGTCAAATATTTCACCGTGAAACTACTACATGTTTAACAGTCACATAAATACCTATACAATAAAATAAATCCATTTGGGGTCTTTAAATTCTACTTTGACGACAGCAAAAGAGACGAGCAACGGTCGTCGCTATAACGTCAACGGTTCCCAACGGCTGTCGCTTCTGTTGATCAGGAAGAGCTTTTATTTTAACGACTAACCGTTAAAAGTTAAAACAGCAAAGTCACGTTTGGGATATTTGTGCAGCTCACTCACACACACATAGTGTTTGAACACGTTAAACAAACACCAACATATCAGCGTTTACTTTAGTTTATTTTTTTGAGCCATGACAGCCCGGGCCGGTGGAAAGTAGCATTTTTATCCGTCTAAACAAGCGACAATTTCGCCTTTAAAACGCGGCTCGGAACTGATAGCTATCAGTCACTCAATTCAACCGACGAGTCTCAGTGTATACACTCGCTAACAGTTCATTTAAGACGCTAAAACACTACATTAATAACATACACGTTAAATACCGGTATTTTATTTACCCGGACTCAACTAGCTACTTAACCCCGTGATATAAGTTATGTCCACAGCGATAACGGTTATTGTCGCGAGGAAATGTGCACCACAAAGTATGATAACGTCGGACACTTTACACAAGCCCCCCTTCAGGAAGCGTTATTTCTTTAGGGGAGGTGGTGTTGTGATTGAGGGAATATGGAGGGAGACAGGTAAATTTACCTGGGAAGTTGAGAAAAGCAGCCATGGGTGCGTGGAGGTGCGGGGATGTGGTCGCCCGGTGAGAGGCGTCGGTCAGCGGGACAGAGCGGCAGCGGCGTCCAGGGCCGGAGCCGCCATGTTCCTGTGGCTCAGAGGCTCCTCGGCTGTTTATCTTTACCAGGAGACCCCCCTCCTCTCTCCTCCTCCCATCACCACCACCTCCACTCATCTCATTACCACACTGCAGAGCCGAGTGTCTCTCTCCACTCACGCACACACACGACTGACTTTGACCTAAAATAAGGTCAATCTGGAGGAAATAACATTGAAATAAAAATAAAATCAACTGAAGACGATTTGTGATGAAAGTTTTAAGGTGTTATATGTGGTATTTTAAGTCTTACAGCTTCACTAAAAATACAAACAATATAAACATAACCCCATAGTGATTTATAGAATGTATGTTCTCTATTGTTAATTATACCTTAGTGTTTTTTCATTTTGCTTTATATTCCACTGTAATTTACAGAAATATCTCAGCAGTGACTACATAGACATTTTCAGGAACTTTTTTTATATATTGCTATTCATTGCAATATCCCCAAAAGGATTTAAAATGTGTATCCAGCCCAAATATTGTCTCTATACCTACTAAAATACCAGATTTTTCCTGCAACACTTAGTAGTCCCTAACCATATTTTAAGAATTCAAATAACACTTGCTGCATCATTCATGCGCTGTAGTTCTGTTGTTAGCGGTTGACGTTGCCTCTCAGCTCCAAAATGAGCAGTTTACATAGAACAGCCTACAGGCTCTTCCTGTTTCTATTGAATAATAATAAAAACAATCCCAAACAGTCAGATCACATCACAGCTGTTAGTCAACATGAAAACAGATGAGAGGGGGGGGCACGTGTTGTGATCAGTGTTAAATTATCACAATTTACTTTTCAAAGTTGTGCCCTTTATAAAATGAACTAGCAGAGACCGCCACCTAGTGTCTGACTTAATAACTCGTGCAGCACTTAGTGCGTGTTTGACATTCAAGACTAAAAAAAAGACAAAGAGACAAATTCAAGTTTTTAATAAAGTGAACATTTAGCTCATCGTGTAAAAAGCATCAGTCTCAGAGGATTTCAACCAATGTGCGTTCTTCCCTGACGCCTTTTAATTAAGTTTGACATGCAAACAGCCACCTCTTAAAATCTGATCTATACACAAGTAAACTGTTTTTATTGAACCTAAAGAAGAAGAGGAGGAGAAAGACAAGGTTTATGAACCAAATCCACTAATAAAATGTCCTTTTAACTAATCACAAAGCTGTTCTAGATGGTTATGTTTGTATCTGCTGCTAATTAAAGCAAAGGCAGCACGACTTGTTAGAAGTCTACTAAAGTGGAGCCCGAGAGTCTAAAGGAAACATCCAAGGCAACAAGTGCGAGCACCAACCCTGATTTATCATTAACACACGCCAGTCGGCAGATATAAGGAATTAAAACCATAAACGTCACGGTTAGAGGTGATTATTTAACACAAATAAAGACAGTTATGGACTGAGGACCACATGGACTTCCATCATCCTTGCCGATTGGTCCATTAGAGAGCACTTCTTCACAGGCTGCTCCTCCATTTGGTGTTTGGTGAAGATTCGTTCACTGAGGCGGGAAAAAAAGAAAAAGATTTACATTTTTCTAAATAATGAACACACGTGATCAACCTTCATGGACCCACAACGAGCCACAACGTAAATGAGCAATGGTTCTCCCGTTGCCTCCAGCGGGCCCAGCATTACGTCCTGGGTCTCTTATTAGAACATGTTCGAAATGCATCAAATAAATCTAAATCTGACCAAACACCAGATCGGTCTGTTTTGGTGGAATTTGTGGCTGGACAAAAGCGATGCTCTGAAACTCTCCCAGCCCTCTTACCCAGGCTGATGTGGCCGTCCTTCTCCAGTTTCTTCAGGTGATGGACCAGGTTCACATTGGCTGCTTGGTGCAGGTATTCAGGAGTGTCCTGAGGGAGAAGCAGTGAGAGGAGCAAACAGAAAGAAGGAAGCACATTAGTCACGTTTTTAACATGAATTTCACTGGGAATATTAGTCCTGGGACGTCTTTACTACGAACTACAAGGTTCTTTCAGAAAGGAAACTTTACTTTAAAGAAACTTTACTTTTAATGTTAACTCCCCTCGTCCTAAAATGACCCTAAACCGTTACTGGAGTACTTCCTTGTGTTATGAATGAAGCGGCGCTGTGTGTGTTTGACCAATCAGGGACGGTCATCCCTGCAAACCCTAACCCCAAAAGTTCCTGTACTTTCATTAAGTATACACTACCCTCGGACCGGGGCCTTTTTGGTGGATGAATGGCCCCGGATCTTAATCTAGATCCTGGTCCCTCAACAGGTTCCTTGTCCCTTGTCCTGACTCCGACCACCTCCGTGTGCAGACGGGCAGCTCCTGTGATTGCTTGCAGGCAGCCTATTTCCGGGTCACTTCCACGAGCTAATCCTAGTTTTAGTATGTTTCCTCTGTATTTTAAAGGAACTTGCTAACGGCGCTCCCGCTGTGACTTGAAAGCATCTCCACCCGGTGTAGATGCCGCCGATCGAGCTCATCCAGAGCTGCAGACACTATATTTTACAACAGTTTAAATGTGGCCGTGAGAGCAGCCGGCGGGTTGGTCCCGACCTTATAGACGATCTTGACGAGGTCCATCGAGGAGAAGGGCTCCCCCGCTCCGGCCCGGATGGCTGCCAGGATCTGCTGCTCCCTCTGCTCCCGGTGGCTGATGTAGTATCTGATCTTAGAGGCCGCATCCTGAACCACAGGTCCGTGACCTAAGAACAGCAGCAGGGTTTTTAGTTTCAAACGTCCGATCAATAGAAAATTGATGAACAATAACTTTCTTAATTGATCGTTAAGGACATTTATCAGGGAAGAATTATGAATATTTGCTGGTTGCACCTTCTGAGGTGTGAGGATTGGTTTGTTTTATTGTTTTGATGTCATTATTGATTTTATATTTTGGGGTTTTAGACTGTTGGTCAGGAAAATTAAACAATGCAAAGACGTCACTTTGGACTTTTTCTCTATTTTCTTACATTTTATTGAGCAGTTAATAAATAAATTTAAAAAACATTAATAATAATGAAAATAATCATTATTGCAGTCCTACATTTTAAACATATTACATACTGGTGAATGTATGTAAAAAATAAAGTGAGAATTAATACTGAAGGGAGGAAACATGAAATAGGAGAAGCAAGCTTGTGACTAGATGATCTCTGGTTCGATCCCTGGACCGGTAAGATACATCTAAAAGATTTAAAAAACATTAATATGATAAATAATGTCCCAACAGGTCAGACTGTGGTCGTACTGAAGAGTCCTCAGGTGTGAATGTGTGTAACCTCGCCCTCAGAGGAGCTTCCCTGGGTAAATTAAAAGGTGTTAAAACACATCATCCAGTGTCCCAGACGTAGAACCGCGTGCTGGCTCACCGGGGTAGATGACGTCAGCCTGAGAGTCCAGCAGGATCTTCAGAGACTTCATGTATTCGTAGAGATCCTCGAACACGGCCGTGCCTTCGCCCAGGATGCAGTCTCCAGAGAAGAGCACCTGCTCCTCCTCCAGCAGCAGGGCCATGTGGTCATCGGTGTGGCCCGGGGTGAACAGCACTCTGGGACAAAGACGTGTAAAAACGTGGCTCACTGGATGTTGTCACAGTCAAGTTATTTCTTTTTTACATTATGTATTATCATGATTATGTATTTACTGTCATTATATTGAACTTGCGTGTGGACCGACTTGAGTGTGGCCCCCTCCGTCTGGACGACATCTCCGTCTTTTAGATAAGTGAAGCTTTTGTTTCCGGCCGACTCTCTGACATCGCCGGAGCGAGGCAGTTTGCTGACTCGGACCTCAGAACCTGCAAGAGGGAAAAACAGAGAAATGATGAACTGCAAAACAAACAATCGTTAAACATGTTACCTTTTTATTATCATTATTTCTATATTTCAGACGTTTTTATGCAACTTCTCGGGTACTATTTTGACAATCAGACCCAGAGCGAGTTTGGATTGACCCTGGTTTTTAGACTATTTCTTATTCAAACTAGAATTACAGCCTTGTTGTATTTTATCCTGCTAAGACATGTGTGAGAAATTGTCATAATTAGCATATCTTTTCTGGAGTTATGGCCCAAAATGTGTTTTTGTAAAAGGACACAGGGGCCTTTGACCACCAAAATCTGAGCACTTCATCCGTGAGTCCAGGTGGAGGTTTGTGCCAAATTCTGAAGAGATTCTCGCCCGGCTTTGCTGAGATATAGCATTTCAGAGAATGGGACGGACAGACGGACAACCCAAAGGAAAAAAGAAACCGCCTCTGGCCACAGAGGCATAAAAATACTGCCGAAATAAAGAGTGCTCAACTGTAAACGGGCTTCAAAAGACCCAGAGGTCATTAAACCTGTCCCAGACACACTGTCCTCACCAGTGATGTCCCTGCAGATGTCCTCCACTCCGCCCGTGTGGTCTCTGTGCCAGTGAGTGATGACGATCTCCTGGATGCTGGCGTTGAACTGACTCAGCGCCTGTTTCAGACTGTTGATGTATTCGGGCACGGCGGGCTCTCCGGTGTCTATCAGCACTCGCCTGGAATAATAACCACACATTTGATACAGCATGCATATTCATCATATTAAGTATCTTTAAGTATCTGTATTCATACACACATCATTAAATAACCGTTTTTGCATTTTATCATAAACCTGGACTCTCTGCCGCCACTATGGATGTCCGAAGGCTTTATTCCATATCTTAATATTTATTATCTTCTCCACAGCATTTTTATTATCCTGTATTTCTACTCTGAGCCTATATTGTTGTTTTAATTGATCGCTATTTTGTTTTCCTTTGTAAATCATAACTACGCAATGGTTTTATATGCACATATATACACACACACACACACACACACACACACACATTTATTTATATATTTATATATATATACACATTTTTAAAAAGTTGAATGGAATTTGGCGTGACTTAGAGAGAGAGAAAACATAAGTAAACTCTGTTTCAGTAATATCAAACATTAACCAGACTCACCTTTTCCCGGTTCCGACCAGGTACGTGTTAGTTCCCTGCAGGGTCATCGGGCCCGGGTTGCAGCCCAGAACCCGGACCACTCTGGCGGACAGCTGCTCTATCCGAGGAAGAACAGCACTCATAGTCGGAGGGGAAGTAACGTCAGATGCAAAGAAAAGGAGCAAAACAAACATACAAGTCTAACCGGATGTGTAACGGAACCTGCATGGTGGTGAACAATTTTTACTTCCTGTCGGGTCCCAAAGCAGCCTTCAAAGTAAAAGTCTCAATTTCACAACGTTACTTCAGTAGTATTGGTTATATTTTGTTTAAATTCACGTGGTTTTTATACTAGTACCTCTATTTGGCTCAGTATACATAATTTCTGTACTGTATTGTTAATTCTGATGTTGACACAACAACATAACGTAACGACTCTTAATTGCGCACATTCAACTTCTTAATTGTTTTATTGTTTATTCCTTGTTTTTTTCCAGATTGTTTAATATTTTTTTATTCATTATAATTGCTCTGTGATCTTGATTTCACTGCTGCAATGACGAATAATGAGTTGCCATCTATGTGTCCATCCTTCCTATTGCTGACCTGTGGTGCATTGCTCTGATAGGTCCCATTGCCTTACTTTTCGACCTATTCCAGTGTGTAAATTGCTGTTGTTGTTTATTTATTTTTTTATTTGTTACCGAAGAATTCCTGCAGAGGTTCACTGTGTAACACCTTCTCTCGGTATATAAATAGCTTTTTTCCATTTGCTTCCGTTCACACACATGTGCAAACACTGTCGCTTACATTATCTTCACATTAGTTCCATATAAATTATCTTTATAGATGCTTAAAATAAATAAATGCATTAAATTAGTGCTCCTACAAAAAGCAGCTCCAACCAGGCTCGTGACAACTGAATGGTCCCATTACAGGACATTTACTGAATATCTGTCACAATAACTGTCACCTGACCACACATAAACATCAGCAGCACAGACCCACCACTAGGTGGCGCCATCGTACAGTCTGATTGAGGCTGAATCACTTCTCAAGCTCCACTGAGGCACTTTCAAAAATATATGAAAAGGTGGTGGATTATCAGTGTTTTACTACTTAGTAATGATAACGATGCTCACCAAGTCTTCACAGTTCAACCTCAGATATCAGAGCTAACCGGCTAAATTACTAATGCTATTGTCATTAATGGGCGTTTTTTGTTATATCTCAAAAAAAGAGGGAGAAACCAAAATCTTTAAAAGCTGTTTAACCACATAAAAGTACCCACTGAATGGCTACTGCTCTGTATGTTACCCTGACCTTTCCCCTCTATATGAAATATCCCATGATTAAATAGAAAAATGACTTTGAAAACTTATTTAATGAAGTTTTTAGAGAAGTCTGAAGGGAGTTTTGCTCTACTGACTGACTACAGGCCTGATCAAAATCCCTTAAGGTTATTGGACAGCAGGTATCAGGAGCCAATCAGCTCCTCTGAGAGGTTCATCTGTATACTGGTTCATTTACGTTGTCTGTTAGTTGATTTTAAAGTTTTTGTTGGATATGTTTGGGACCAGAATTGTTGACCAGTGGCATGTATTAAGAGATTCCAATCATTTTTTAAAGATGTTCTCCATGTGAAGTTGTGCCCGAAATCCCTCTTTTCTGCTTTGATGTTTCACTTCAGTCACGTGTGTGTTGCTCTTTTAACTGCTGACATAGAAGAATATTTGACTATAAATACTATAAGAAGTTAGTTATACTGGTGACATGTGTAAACGTCAGCCTACAGTGTGATTTGTCCCTCAGAATCAGTCAGCTACGATTCCCACTCGGTACCCATCAATGCCAATATATGTTTGCCAATGAATGTATTCTGTCATATGCATTTTGTGTCTGTCATCAATTTGTGTCTCTGTGAGGTTGTTTTTCCCCTTTTCACAGTCATTGTGAGTCTCTTTGTGAGTCTCTTTGAATCTACTTGCAGCTGTTTTGTGTCTCTTTGCAGTCGTAGCATGTTTCTTTGTGGTCATTTTGTGTCTCTACGAGGTTGTTTTGCCCCCTTTGACAGTCATTGTGAGTCTCCTTGAGTCTCCTTGCAACCGTTTTGTGTCTCTTTGCAGTCGTCGTATGTCTCTTTGTGGTCATTTTGTGTCTCTTCCTGGTTGGAATGTGTCTCTTTGAGTGACAGTTTGTAGGCGAACGCCAAAGGGGGACACTTTGGGTCCCTGGGCCTGTCCCTGGTAATCCATCCATGAGTATATGTGATCCCCTTTTGCCTTTTCAGGTTGCAAAGCTCGAAGAAGCAATTGAAGGATGAAGAGCAATAAAGAGGTATCTTCTGGTTCCACTGTTATTAAAGTACACAAGACGCTTTGGGCAGCGAGAGCTACAACAGCAATCACCACAGACAGAACTGGTTGCAGTTTTATCACTTTAAAATCACAATTAAAACAGAATGTCAAGAGCCTCTTGCTTACCTGACAGTCAGACTGTAGAGTGCGTGGTGAGCTAGGGGGCGACCGCCTCCCCTTCACTTCCTCTAATGAGCATTGAATCTCTTACACAGAGCATGACGGGATCACAAGTTGGGAGGGGAATGTGGGTGGCATGACTGGCACCAACCGGTAAGCTATAGAAAAACACACCGTGGTAACCAATTATACCTGAGATTAGTTTCCTCTTTAAAAAAGAATGTAAATTGCAATGTTTCACTGGTGAAATGCATCTCCACAGTCTCCACGGGTTCTTTAAACTGATCTTCTTCACTTGTGAACATGAACTGCGACAGCTATGGAATGAATAACGAGGGATAGACATTAACAAGACAAAATCAATGGCACATTCTGACAGAATAGCGTCCTTGCTGTATCTTTAATTTAATATATTTTCTTGCTGAAACAGGACATTAGGCCATAATCTAATGAGGGATCATTCAAAAGTGCAAACCAGTTGGATATCATCTTGGGAGCAAAAAGTAGTTTTATGTTTTATTCCTGTTTGCAAAAAAAACAAAAACCCTTTTGGGTCGTATTTGATTCAGCGTTAAAGTGACAAATAAATCAGCTGGTTAAATCAAGTTTCACTCAGATTTCTACATCTTGTCTTCAACTAGGTCCAAATGCTGAAGCAAAAAGCGATGGAACACGTCACTCCCGTCCTCACGCTCCCTGTTCCTGCTGTTTGTCTACAAAGCACAACATGGTCTCGTCCGTCCTCACCTTGTGCCCCAAAACTAAATGTCAACGACCTGAAATCTCTCACCAAAGCCTCTCGTTCGTCCAAATCCAGGACAACGTATTCTCGCTGCGCGGTGAAGGCCTTTGGATCAAGTGTGCGGCGCTTTAAGTGCCACATAAATAAAGCTGAGATCACTTTGATGGACGAGGGATTAAGTTAAGTTAAAAAAGTCGTATTTTTAATGTGACATAAATGCTTCTATGGATACATATTTGATTTGTGTTCAGTGTAATTTCCTTTTAATTTACCAACACATCCCTGGCACCTACTACAATAGAGCAATAACTAAAGTACTTCATAAGAGGGAACACGAGGGATGATCTCCTCCAACAGGCTTTACATTATGTTGAACCCATTAGTTCTCTTCCCGAGTGCATGCCCAGTAATCCTACACGCATTACGGCACAAGGTCGATGCAGTCAAATGAAGTCGATGGAGACCCACGCTTCCTCCTTATATCGCCTTGTTTGATATTTGTCTCCAATAAATTGTGGCCCATAACATTGGGTGTAAAAGAGGGGATAATTCAGCTCTCTATAATATTTACAGGTAGAATAGGTGGAAGGGGGGTGGGGGGGGGGAGCAGAGAGACATTATTTCCCTAAATGAAATAGATCCTGACATCTGGGCGTCCAAGGGCCCCATCCTCCTCTCTCTCCCTCTCTCTCTTTGTAATTACACGACATAATGGTGGTGCAGTCGGCTCGTAATCTCCCATTATAATCAGTCTCGGCTGCCTCCACTAGCTCTCCACCACGGATTCTAATTCAATATAAATGTAAATGACTGGGGGGGGGAGAGAGAGAGAGAGAGAGAGGGAGGGAGGGAGGGAGGGAGGGAAGGAGGGAGGGAAGGTGAGAGGGGGGGCGTCAGGAACAGTATGGCATGTAAATGTTGAGTCTGATCTCCACACAAATTCCTACTTATTTTACTAGAAGTCGTATACATCTTAATAATAATATGGACGAATTGAATGTGGACTGTTGGGGTGATGGGCAGTTAGTCGTCATTAACATTCATTTGTTCAGGCTGTTGTTATATGGCGTTCGTAGATAACCCTACAACAAGCAATGCTCTGTATTAAGTAGATTTGGCCCACGGAATCTATTCGTATATAATCCACGTAATCATGAAGCAGGAAGTATGAGGCACGCCAAAGCATGCATGGGCAAAATGGGGTGGGGACGGGGTTCTGGTCTTTCATGATCTTAAACCTAAGTAAGTATTTCACGATCTATTCTTAAACCTAACTAAGTATTTCACGAT